CTTCAGCACGCACCCTAACGCTACACGCCGCTCCGCAGCCTCCTGCACCATCTCACCTGGGCCAGGTGCACCGCTGCCTCCCAACACTCACCGCTCCTCCGCTATAAACCTCCAGCACGAGCCACAGCCACGGCTCACAACCACTTTTATCTCCAGCAGCCTAGTCGGAAACCAGTTCCCTCATTATTATTTTCCCCATCAGTACCTACTTAATTTGTAATAAAAGCACTTCTGACTTCCCTGAATCGATATTTTGCATTCTGGGTCCAGCTTCTCTGTCTCTCTCTCGCCATTCGGTGAGAGAAGCCACAGACATAAATTATTACTCTTAAATGAACAATAAAACAGCCTTCTCCTAATGAACTTGCTAAACTGTGAACTACATGAAATACATAATATCTTTATCGACTATTTACTAGCGTTAGTTACTAAGAGGCATTTAAGTTATTTCATTAAGTTGATTAATACACTGTTTGGCTTGGGGCTGGAGATATTTCCTCCACATTACAATGTACACAACATTACTGAGTTACTGTCATTTCTGCAACTGCAAGTTCTATTATTTGTGTGGTTTGATCTGCTTTGCCACACAGACAGGTGTTTTCAATTACATTACATTATTGTAAGTTACCTGTAGCATGCTCCCCCTGAGCAAGGATGACACTTGACTGGTGATTTTGGTGTTTTATTCCTTCCTGAACTTTATGTACACCATCCTCAACTGTAAGAGCTGAAACAAAACAAACTACCTGTACTTTGATAAGCATTTACATACAATGAATTCATGCATAATTAGGTTACATCGACATACAATACACATCAACAAAATGTTCATACACACCACTAGACTGCCAGTATGAAACTAATGTCTAAGATTACTCTGTCTTGATCAACTTCGTACAGTAAGCTACAGTGCCTTGCAAAAATATTCATACCCCTTGAACTTTTCCACATTTTGTCACATTACAACCACAAACTTAAATATATTTTATTGGGATTTTATGCAATAGATCAACACAAAGTATTGCATAATTGTGAACTGGAAGGAAAATGATACGTTGTGTTCAAGATTTTTTACAAATAAAAATCTGAAAAGTGTGGCGTACATATGTATTCAGCCCGCTTTACTTTCATATCCTTAAATAAAATCCAGTGCAACCAACTGCCTTCAGAAATCACCTAATTAGTAAATAGAGTCCACCTGTGTGTAATTCACTCTCAGTATACATCCAGCTGTTCTGTGAAGGCCTCAGAGGTTTGTTAGAGAACAAACAGCATCATGAAGACTAAGGAACACACCAGACAGATCAGGGA